TATGCTGAGTGAAAGATTTTATACATGTTTTAAATGATTTAAACTATATATGTATTTTATATCTACGAAAATGTTGGGGTAAAACATAGGTAGATATAATAGATAAAATATGAGTTGGATGATGAGTTGAGATGTGATATAGACTATAAGGTGTGGGTGAGAGGTGTACGATGTGAGAAGCCTTTTTCCCAAACGATGTCCCTGTCATTCAGTAGAGTATGGATGACAACCACGGACTATCCTAGATAGTCCAGTGGAACACTATCAGGCTCGCAACCTGTAGGTGTTGTGAACGATGTGTTCACCCGGTGTACTCTAAACCTTGGTGATCATGCAGACTTGATACCTAGACCCCGGTGATCATGCAGACTTGGGGCCGAAACCTTGGCGACTATGCAGACTTAGTGCCTATTGTATAAATTCTGGCGACTATGCAGACTTAGTGCCTAAACCCCGGTGACGATGGACTTCGTGCCGATTCCTTAGGATGATCCTTAGGAATGTATGAACGAGGAATAGTTGATTCTTAGGGTAGATCCTTAAGAATAAAGCAGATAATAGGGATGGGTGACCCCCTGGGAAGTCCTCGTGCCGACTGGCCCAAAGCGGACAATATTGTGATACGTGCCAGAGGAGATGTTACAAATGATATCAGAGCTAGGGCACGGGTCGATGTGTTCGACGGGGACGTCGAACCCTATAATGGGGGGTGAAAGTAGGTTAGATCTGATCCCACATCGGCTGGGAAGGAGAACTAAGCATTCCTTATAGGGGGTGTGGATACCTTCCCTAACACAACGCGTTTTAAAGCCGTGAGGGCAGCAGATCCCATAAGAACTCTGCAGTTAAGCGTGCTCGGGCGGGAGTAGTACCAGGATGGGTGACCCCCTGGGAAGTCCTCGTGCCGAGTGGCCCAAAGCGGACAATATTGTGATACGTGCCAGAGGGGGGTGTTACAAATGGTATCAGAGCTAGGGCACGGGCGGGATCAGATCTAACCCACATCGGCTGGGAAGGAGAACTGAGCATTCCTTATAAGGGGTGTGGATACCTTCCCTAACAGAACGCGTTTTAAAGCCTGTCGAACACATCGACCCGTGCCCTAGCTCTGATACCATTTCTAACATCCCCCTCTGGCACGTATCACAATATTGTCCACTTTGGGCCACTCGGCACGAGGACTTCCCAGGGGGTCACCCATCCCGGTACAACTCCCGCCCGAGCACACTTAACTGCAGAGTTCTTATGGGATCTGCTGCCCTCACGGCTTTAAAACGCGTTGTGTTAGGGAAAGTATCCACACCCCTTATAAGGAATGTTTAGTTCTCCTTCCTAGCCGATGTGGGATCATATCTAACCCACTTATTTGTAACACCCCCCTCTGGCACGTATCACAATATTGTCCGCTTTGGGCCACTCGGCACGAGGACTTCCCAGGGGTCACCCATCCCGGTACTACTCCCGCCCGAGCACGCTTAACTGCAGAGTTCTTATGGGATCTGCTGCCCTCACGGTTTTAAAACACGTTGTGATAGGGAAGGTATCCACACCCCTTATAAGGAATGCTTAGTTCTCCTTCCCAACCGATGTGGGATCAGATCTAACCCACTTTCACCCCTCATTATAAGGGGTGTGGATACCTTCCCTATCACAACGCGTTTTAAAGCCGTGAGGGCAGCAGATCCCATAAGAACTCTGCAGTTAAGCGTGCGCGGGCGGGAGTAGTATCGGGATGGGAGTAGTACCATTTGTAACATCCCCCTCTAGCACGTATCACAATATTGTCCGCTTTGGGCCACTCGGCACGAGGACTTCCCAGGGGGTCACCCATCCCGGTACTACTCCCGCTCGAGCACGCTTAACTGCAGAGTTCTTATGGGATCTGCTGCCCTCACGGCTTTAAAACGCGTTGTGATAGGGAAGGTATCCACACAAGAACTCTGCAGTTAAGCGTGCTCGGGCGGGAGTAGTACCGGGATGGGTGACCCCCTGGGAAGTCCTCGTGCCGAGTGGCCCAAAGCGGATAATATTGTGATACGTGCCAGAGGGGGTGTGTTACATTGTGTGTGGTGTTTTGGGGAACCCACTAAGATTTGTGCTTACGGTTTGCAGTTTACATGTTTCAGGTTTTTCTTATATTAAAGGAGAGGCACAGCTCGATTGCATCGCATCCATGGGGGAGTTGTCTACCTGATAACTTTTAATGATACTCTGATAAATGTTTAAGATTCTTACAGTTGTCAACTATAATATATATATAATATATATATATATATATATATATATATATATATATATATATATATATATATATAAAGTTTTAATAAAAAATTTTGGGTTTGTAATTTGGGGTGTTACAATGGTCAAGGTCAAAAAATCAACTATTCAAGGAGGTCCACTTATACTTAGTACGCCATGCGTACTCAGTTGGTACGCCCATTGTACTATAAATTTTGACTAGCTCATGGGGTGTTGACCCAGTACGCATTGCGTACCAGAAGGTACGCCCCGCGTATGATGCCAACTCTTATTCCATCAAGAAAAGTCTTAAACATGTAAGCCAAATCGTCCAATGCTCAGAACAAGTTCCAAATTATGCCTTAACCCATAAAGTCGATAACTTTGAGCTTTGGCATGGCTTAGTGGGTCCCAAATCCAAGACGTATCTTTACAACTTCAACAAGGAGCTAATACACATGCATGGGTAGATATCAACCACCAAGATTACATTTTTATGCATTTAGGACTCCTAAAATATCCATATCTAAAGACCAAACTTCTGGAGCAACTCTTTCTCATAGGGACAAACCAAAGGGACCAAATTATGCCACAAATCACTCCAAACTAGATCTACTCAAGGAGATGTCAAGACAAGAGCTTTTTACCTTCAATGGATTGAAAAAAGGTGTAACTTCTGGATCTCCAAGCTTCACTCCAAATGATGATTCTTCAATAACCTTCAATATCTTTAAAATGCACAAGAACACACCAAGATTCCTCACAAGAGCTTAAGAACTCAAAGATGGTGGCTAGGGGTCGAGATTAGGGTTTAGGAGGTATGGAGGCTGATAAAAGGCAACATCCTAAGAACATACTAAGCTTAAATAGGGGTAAGACCCTAAAAATGAGGGTTTCTAGCTGAAGTGAGTACGCCCTACATACTCTTGAGTACGCCCAACGTACTCAAATGGCATACATGATCATATCTTCCACTACGCAAATAAGATAAATGACTTTTGAATGTAAAACATTGGTATTTGTCATGAATAAATGAAATGTTGTTGTATAAAAATGAAAAATTTTGTTATGAAAATCGGGACGTTACAGAAATTGACCCAAGAGCCCGCGAATCCATATACTTCAATGAGTTATGTGGGTGAGGTTGGGTTGATGTTTCCAACCCATTACCCGCCAACCCATATATTATATGGATTGGGTTGGGTCAATGTATTCTAACACACCAACCCAAACTCAACCCAATTGTGAGGCCTAATCACGGTGACCTATTAGAGGTTGCGGTGGAACGTGAATTGGTTGGCCTACTTTGATAAAATTGGTATTGGGATTTATGGGAATATCTTTATGCGAGTGTCGATTAAAGTTTGCAATATCTTAGAATCTTTGAGATCTTTTTTTTTTTGGGTTCTAATGATCAAAGATAAGAACATTTACGACTTCTAAGAAAAAAAAATATGTTTTAGCATCAATAGTCTTGCGACTTTCAATGGGGCTCTATTACAAACTTGGAGACGAAGGTCCATTCAAAATCCACAACATTTGTTGGTAAACGTATAAAAACGATTCATCAAAGTTCTCGAGGCATGAGATTGATGTGGGATATGATTAAAATTATTGGAGTGTGGGCGAAAATTTTAGGATTTGTAAACCAATTACACGAGAAAAAAAATTATCGTGCATTCAACTTTGAAGAAAAAAGTGGGGGATAGATTAACAATATAATTTTTGGAGGAGGTTGGGACCGGGGGATAAACCATTAATGATTTCATTTCCTAGAATATTTCAGCTTGAACGACATAAAACTGTTTGGTTTTCGACAGGCGAGACAATGAAATGTGGGTTTAGAACTAGTGCCAAGATCTAATGGGTAGGCTCGAGATGGATCAATTATCGACTCTTTGACAGTGTTGGAGTCGGGGCTTGCTTCCCTCAATAGCATATGTGGTTGTGGATATTGATAACTCTGACGGTTAGTACCATGAGGTTTTATAGAGAACGTTACTCTACCTAATGGTTATTTCATGACGAGATGGAACAAGTTTGTTTCGAAGAAAGTAAATATTCTCAAATGGGGATATTGTTGGATCGAATTTCATCTAGACAAAATTTGGTGATTAAAGGTGTTGAACTGTTGATCTCTCATTTACTATATGGTCGATATGTAACAATCACTTGGAGGAAGTTGATTGCATCTTGTATTGATCTCTCGTTTACTCTATGATCAATACGTAACAATCATTGGGATGAAGTTGATCGCATTTTCTTGGAATGTGAAGTGGTGACTCAATTATTGGAGAAAATTGTTCGTTGGTATGACTTGAGTTTTCTTGCTTGTGATCGGAAAAGTGATTTTGTTGTTTGGCTAAAAATGTTGCTCTTTCTTCTAATAAACATGTGGTGTTGGATGCCATTCTGGAGTATTTGGAAATTCAGGAACTTGTTCGGGTGAGCTATTAGAGGCCAGAAACTAAAAGTAGGTTGGGTTCTATAGATTCAAAATCCTACCCTCACTATCTTTTTGTAATCGTTATTTTTTCCCAATATCTTATTATCTTGCTAGCTATAAAATACAATCGTTTATACAGGTTATTTGCATAAAAACACAAACTATAAGGGGTAAGTTGGTATAACCTTAGTTTTTGGGGTTTAAACTTTAAACACAGTTTTCTTCGCCGGCGACATTGAAGCCGCCGCAGCAGAAGAACACCAGATGCTTAACAGTTACACCCTTCACAAAATCTCGCTTCGCCCTCTCTTTGCACATGAGAGAAAGCTTCCGGCGTCACGTCATGAAACCCTGCAAGTCTTTTGATCTCATAGTATTAAAACACCTCAATTCGACCACCAGTTTCGGCACTACTCAAGGTCAGTACGCCTTCCCCTTCTCTACACTTTCTATCTGTCAAACCAAATCTCCGATCGCTAAAACAACACACATCCCACCTGTAACCCCGCAGTCTCTTCAGAAATCTATCTCTTCTTCTCAGTGGCATTTCATCGAACAGATATCAGGCACCCTTACACCCACCACAATCTCCACCGCCCTCTACAGCCTCCGCACATCTCCCACCCTCGTCCTTCAATTCACCGAGTATCTTAACCCAAATAATACAGATATCGAATGCTATTGTCTATCAATCGCCATTATCTGTCAGCTCCCCTCACCTAAATCATCTTTACAATTTATCAAAACTTTAATCAGTTCTCGTAGGTTTAGCTATAACGATGTCTTTAACGGGTTAGTTGCCGCCCGTGAAAGGCTAGGCATATCGAGTACGATAGTCTTTGATTTGTGGATCAAGGGCTTCTGTGAATTGAAGAGAGCTGATGAGGCGTTCAAGTGCTTTTACTTGATGAAACATAAAGGGATATTGCCAAAGATTGAAACTTGTAACAACATGCTAAGCTTGTTTATTAGATCAAACCATACACATTCTACATGGGTTTTGTTTGCTGAGATGTTCAGATTGAAGATTAATCCGACTGTGTACACTTATAACATAATGGTTAACCTGTTGTGTAAAGAAGGGAAGACAAAGAAGGCAAAGGAGTTCATTGCAAACATGGAAACCTTAGGGTTGAAACCAAATGTGGTTACTTATAACACAATAATCAACGGGTATTGTGCAAAAAAGGATCTTGATGGTGCTAAGAGGGTATTCAACAGGATGAAAGCTAAAGGCATTCAGCCAGACACATATAGTTATGGAGCACTTGTAAGCTGTATGTGTAAAGAAGAAAGATTCAATGATGCATCTAAACTTATGAGTAAAATGGAGGAAATCGGTTTAGTGCCAACTGCAATAACGTACAACACATTGATAGATGCATATTGCAATAAAGAGAATCTTGAAATGGCATTTCATTATAAAGATGAAATGGTGAAAAAGGGCATACAACCATCTGTATCTACATACAATTCATTGATTCTTGCATTGGTGTTTGAAGGTAAAGAGTCAGAAGCCGAAGATATAATGGAAGAAATGAGAATTGAAAAATTAATCCCAGATGTGATCACTTACAACATATTGATCAATGGATATTGTAGATCTGGGAATGCACAAAAGGCTTTTGCTCTCCATGATGAGATGATAACAAAAGGTATAAACCCAACACATGTGACCTACACTTCTCTTATAAAAGTATTAAACAAACGAAACAGAATGACAGAAGCAGATAATTTATTTTCCAAGATTATCGAGAGAGGCGTTTTACCAGATGTTATGATGTTTAATTCATTGATTGATGGACATTGTGCTAATAAAAACATGGAAAGAGCTGTTTTTTATTTAAAGGAAATGGATAGGGTGAAAGTTTGTCCTGATGAAGTGACCTACAATACTTTAATGCAAGGGCATTGTAGGGAGGGAAGAGTTGAAGAAGCTATTAGGGTTTTTGAGGAAATGAAGAAAAGAGGGATTGAGGGAGATTATATTAGTTTTAATACTCTTATTAGTGGGTATAGTAGGAGAGGTGATATGAAGGAGGCATTAAAGATTAGGGATGATATGGTAAGTAAAGGTTTTAATCCCACATTGTTAACCTACACTTCTCTTATTCAAGGATTATGTAAAAATAATGAGGGACATCATGCAGAAAAGCTTTATAAAGAAATGGTTAGTAAAGGTATTACCCCTGATGATAATACCATTGTTTCTTTGATTGAAGGGATGGAAAGTGTTGATAAGTTTCTTGAAAATGATCTTTGATTGTATTTGACATGTAGTCTCTATCTTGTTTAATGATTTTTCTCATTGTGCTTTTTACTTAACATGGTTGTTGGTTCCTTTTTTTTTAAGGTGTCCTTGTTTAAGAAGTGTCGCAATCACTTTTAAGAAGATTTTATTTGAAACTCTTTAGTCATTCAAGAAGAGAAGGATCACATGCTATTTTGCTACAAGACATACACTTGAATTGATGGATATCTGTCATGGGTTTGGGAATATTTCGTTACACATTTCCATATGATCAGATCAACCTTTTGCATCCTTAACATATTCATCATTTGCTTCTGACTGGTTATTGTCACCTTCCTTATTTGGCCTAACATGCATGTCAACATAATAATATATTAAATTAGTGTATGTGATACACTCATACCTACCTTCTTCCCATCCTCAACCTTATCCCTTATTTGACCCAACTTGCATGCTAACATACTAATGCGTTAAATGGTATAATAAACTTTTTGGGAAAATGACTTAAAAAGGTAAAGAAATTTCCAAAATGTTCAAAAAAGACTATTATTTTTTTAGTACATAATGGTATTCTATGTACCAATTGTATACTTCAATGATATTTTTTGTAATTAAAGAACAATTATATTTTTTGAACATTTTGGAAACTTTATTACAGTTTTAGGCCATTTTTATGTTTACCGAAGGTAACTATTTACCAAAAGATTTTATTTGAACACGTATGTACTTTGTATGATATTTTTTGTATTAAAAAAAAAAAAACAATAATGATATTTTTTGAACATTTTAAAAACTTCGTTACCTTTTTAAGTCATTTTCCCTAAAAAAATTTAATGTGCTACCAACATCTTCATCCTTAACCTTATCAACATTCTCATCTTCAACCCTATCATCAACATCTAGGAAGCACAGAAACTCATCTTAGGGTCATGTTCTCGTTTCGGAAATGCCATGGAAATGGATACGCCTACGATGCGTCATGGAAACGTTTCGGTGAAGTATCGGGTAGTCAGGAAACGTATCAGTGAAATTTCGGTGAAGTTTCCGCAACGTGTCTATTTTATTTTAGGTTTTGCATGGGCTTTTTAAGTCCAAAAAAGACTAATGAGTTATACATATTCGTTATTACCTTAAACCGATCAACTATCCAATTCCTAGTTGTCTACTCGTCTCGTCGATCACTGATCAAACGATCACCGGTTCAGAATTCACCAATCGTCATTCTCCTAATTCCTAAACAGGTCAATTATGACTTCTCAAGAACAAGAAACAAAAGGATCATCGTCAACTATATCAATAGACCAACCTTCATTGTAGGACTATGTGACTAAACTGGAAAAACTTGTTGGAGCAGGAGGATGTTAGAAATTTAAGTGTAACATTTGCAGTGAAACCCGACAAGCATGGGGGGCTTAGAGGGGGGACAAAGTGGACAGCTGTACATGACTCAATTTTTTTTATTATATATTTTTATTTAAAAATACAAAATTATAATAAAGATAAGGGCTTTTTTTTTTCTTGTTCGTCCTAGACCTTTAAAAATATTTCATTTTTCAGGACCGGCCCTGCCGATAAGGATCATATTCTAGAGTTAGAGCACATTTGCTTGGTATAAAAGGTAATCTACTAATCTTTGCAGTGTTTGGAGTCCAATTTCATCCATTAAAGTTTAACAGGAAGGCAAATTTCGTCCATTGAAGTTAATTTTCATATGTATGACTATAGTTATGTTCATTAATGATAATATACAAGTATCTCCTGTTAATATATTCCTTTATATTGTTAGTAACTTTTACTATAAACTTTTCATTAATTGCAGCCTAACTGCATAACAAGAAAAAGTGATTCCTAAATATGTAGTAAAAAAATTATTATTAATATTTTATGTATGTGTGTAAGTGATTATTCTGATTTTCTGATTTTCTCATCCCTATATTTATCTGCAGTATAGGTACTGAGATTTCTATTTGCAAGAAACCAACAGTGACCGACAAACTTAACATGAAAAGATTAGAAGATACGTATGAAGAGAAGAAAGTCGAGTCACAACCAAAAAAAGTCGAGTTGCCATGTGAAGTTGGTGTTGGATTTAAGAAAAGAAAAGGTATTTCAACACCTCTTGAAAGAGCTTTTTGTGTTAGAAATTAGGGACCAACCGGATCAAGAAATAACAAGGATGTTTTATACCGAAGGTTTACCTTTTAATCTTGCAAGAAATCCACATTATCTCAAGGCTTTTCAGTTTGCTGCTAACAACAAAATGATGGTTATGTATCTCCTAGTTATAACAAGCTAAGAACAACATTATTACAAAAAGAAAAAGATAATATTCACAGGCTATTGGATCCACTTAGGTCTACATGGAAAGAAAAATTTGTGACTGTTATGAGTGATGGCTGGAGTGATCCTATAAGAAAACCCCTAATCAATTTCATGGTTGCCTCAGGTAATGGTCTTTTGTTTCTAAAGGCAGTGAATTGTTTTGGGAAGTAAAAGATAGATTTTATATTGCTTAATTGATGAAAGAAGTCATCAATGAAATTGGTCATCAAAATGTTGTGCAAATCATTACTAACAATACAACAAATTGTAAGGCAGCTGGAGAGATTATCGAGAGTCAGTTTCCTCACATCTATTGGACACCATGTGTTGTTCATACGCTTAATCTCAGTTTGAAGAACTTTTGTTCACCAATGAATGTGGAAACAAATGAACTAACATATGAACAATACAACTGGATAAAAAAAAGTTCACGAAGATGCACTTGCAATAAAGAATTTCATCATGAACCATAACATGAGACTCTCGATTTTCACCAAGTTTACTCCTCTTAGATTGCTTTCGGTTGCCGACACTCGCTTTGCCTCCATAATTGTGATGCTCAAGAGATTGAAACTTATCAAAAAGGGTCTTCAAGCTATGATTATAAGCGAAAAATGGTCTTCTTATAGATTAGATGACACTAAGAAAACATACTCCATGAAATAATATATTTTTATATGATGATTGGTGGTACAAAGTAGCATATATTCTTAGTTTCACTCGACCTATATATGAGATGATTAGAGTTTGTGACACCGACAAGCCATGTTTACACTTGGTGCATGGGATGTGGGATTTTATGATTGAGAAAGTGAAGATTGAGATCTACAAGAAAGAAAAATGTCTGACGTCTTAAATAAGTTGCTTTTATAATGTTGTGCATTGTATTTTAGTGGTTCGATGGGCGAAGAATAACACTCCCATACATTGTTTAGCTCACTCTTTAAATCCAAGGTATATGATTTTAAACTATACACTTGATTTCTATTATATATTTATGTTTTAACTTTTGAATGTTGTAGATATTATAGTGATTCATGGTTACATGAGGACTCTACAAGATGTGTTCCACATAGGGATGGAGGAATTTCACAAAAAATGATGAAATGTTTTCGAAGATTGTTTCCTAATAATGATGGGTATAGCAAAGTCCTTGATGTGAATGCAATGTTTTCAATGAAGAGTGGTCCTTTTAAAGATTTAACAAGCATTTCAAAGATGACTACTATGGAACCCAAGAATTGGTGGGGTTAACTTTGGTGCTCAAACTCCTTTTCTCCATACTTTGGCTTTTAGATTACTTGGACAACCTAGTTCTTCTTCTTCTTCTTCTTCTTCTTCTTGTGTTGAGCATAATTTGAGTACTTATGCATTTATTCACTAGCTTAAGAGGAATAAGTTGACTACAAGTCGTGCTCAAGACTTGGTTTACATCCACAATAATCTCCTACTTTTGTCAAGGAATCTGAATGATAATGTTTTTGATTCAATGGAAGATGTAGGGTTTTTGGAGGTTGCCGATCTCTCACTAGATGAACTGGATTTTGAAAATGGTTTGATTATTGATAATTAATTACCTATGAAAGATTTAGTATTTTTGACGTTTACACTTTACATCAATATATATCTATTTTGGAATTTCTTATATATATATATATATATATATAATATATATATATATATATATATATATATATATATATATATATATATATATTATATATATATGTGTGTGTGTGTGTGTGTGTGTGTGTTTATATTGTCGTATCTCTGCAGTTTCTGTATCTTGATTTTTTTTGAGTTTTGTCGTTTCCCTTTACCGTTTTGTATCCGTTTCCCATTGTCGTATCCGTTTCCGTTTCCGTGCAACTTAGATCAACATTCTCGTTTTCTTTTGATTTTTTTTCTTGTCAGAATCCAGATTCATCTCAACCTGCATGATAAAGTATTAAAACACATTTATTGCAAATATAACATAGACTTATTAACTAAACATATCATCACGGAAGACTTTTGCTTCCATCCCCAACTTATTTACTATCATCCCTACAAAGAGGATTAAAAAATGTATCATCATCACAACTCTCGTAATAATTAGTTATGTCTAATTTGTGCAAAGCCCTTGACATTTCTTTGCCACCATAGGGCCCTTACGATAATTGATTAGTTCGTCTTCATATATATATATATTAAAACATCTTCCATATCCAAATATATAAAGTTATACAATGAAAAACCTTAATCAACTGAGTATTGTTATAATGAACTTTAAGAATAAGTTGAGGTCCGTTTACATTGAAAACATGCAAGGGCTTTATTATATTTTGTTTAATATTGTTTCACCTTTGGCTTATTACTCTCTCTTTCTTTCTCTCCCCCTCTCTCTCTCTCTCTCTCTCTCTATATATATATATATATATATATATATATATATATATATATATATATACACACACACACACACACACAAGTAGGTTCATACGAAAACATAAATACCTTATGAAAACGCGAAAATAGATTTTATCTTATAAAAATCAAACACAAGTACTATAAAATTAAATTTATTAACAATAGATTAAAGATAATAAGTTACATTGGACTGTGTTATGATAATATAAATTTAAAGACAGTTTTAACAACTATTTTTTTTCACATCCTTAACCACTTTTAAATTCATGTTTTTATAATAAAAATGTCAAAAATCATGTTTTGCTAATATGAAACAATTTCTCATGTATCATCGATTATCGTCATGTAGTTTAAAGCTTTGATGGATTATTGTTCAAAATATAAGGTTGAGGTGGCACAATCTCATAGTTTTCTCTTGTTTTCGCGTTTTCGCAAATTATTTGCATTTTCTCATGAACCAGGGAGGGAGGGAGGTGTATATATATATATATATATATATATATATATATATATATATATATATATATATATATATATATATATATATATTCCTCCCTCCCACCAATTGTTGATCGCATCTCACTATTTGTAATTTTCCATATATATAATCTCCATAGGTACCTACATAACAAAGAGTTCTTTATTTTAAAACATTAACAATGTAAAACAATATATTGTTTTATGAAAATAATACATGTTCCATGCATCTAAAGAGTTCGCCGCCAAAAGGGTCCATGGTGTGACCAACTAATGACTTAGATCTCCTATAAAACCATGCTACAACATGCAAATAAGACATATAAGGATATTATCTTCATCTGAAATTTTGTAAAGCATTGAGTTGTTAAACAACCCAAGTAAATCTATAATATATAATATATCTATAGAATCAAAATCGAAAAGCACCACATCTTAAACTTGCAAATAACATCTTCATCACCCATGTAACATTACGAAACTGTAGAGTGGAGATAAGGAAAAACTTCGAACGTCCAAAATGTAGCTCATTTCTTCCAACTTGATATCAAAACACACCATCATTATGTTCACGATGGATCATTTCAGTAAACATTACTTCAATTTTAGTTACTGGTTCTTCAGTTTCAATCAATGAAATGGTATTCTAGGTTTATCAAACTACAATAACAAAACAAAATAACCTAAAAGGCTAAAACCTAATCCTCATAATTTTAAGGTAACATTTACGATGGTTAAATGTACTAAAAAACAAATGTTTATTGATTACTTACTTGCAATGCATTCATGTTTCTCAAGTGATGATCCACGAGCGTAAATAAATATGACCACATGTTCTGCTAAAAGTTGCTTGCGAATCAGCAAGGATCCTAAAATGACATAAAGCAAATCGATAATCTTTAGCAATATCATATAAATCTTTGTGAATACAATTTAGGATAGTTGACATAAAGAAAATCGATAATCTTTAGCAATATTATGTAAATATGTGTGTATACAATTTAAGATAGTTTCTACAGCCCTTAACTAATAGGTATTGACAACCATTTGTGATATACTTTTGCTTTGAAAATCTTAATAATTTGCTTGTTCCCAACATACTGTTCAACCATGCATACATGCAATCATAAATATCTATTGCTAAAGACTTACGAGAATCCTGTTTAATTCGATATGGGGGCATGTATCTTTAATCCTATCCATCTACATGTACATCCTAATATATTGTTTATAATGTGATTCTTAGCTGACATATAAGAAGGCAAACATGAAACCTAGACTTTATTTGATATCAAGTTTTATAGAGAACATAACATCACTAAGGTTGTAGAGTTATGTGTGTCCATTTTGATATAATAACATTTAGCAAATAAAGAGATGCTTGCGAGTGGTGGTTCATTTTGTTTGTTGGTGTAATTCGTTTATGTTTCATGTAATTATGTTAAATTTTCTATTACATATCATCTTTAAATTTGTATCACATGTATTAAATAATATTTTCAAAATTTATCGTTCACGAACAAATATCTTCACAAGTATTTATGTTTTAAATGTTTCCCATGAAGCTTAAAATGATGCATACATAAATGTGTATCAGTGAGCTTTACTATTGAATTTGGACGTCAATTGTGATAAACACAACATAATTATATTCTTAGTCTTAACTTCCTTTTCCACACCGCTATCTACTCTCTTCTTTACGGTAGTTCATTTGGATGTTGTGACCCCTTAAAGCTTTTATCAACCCAAAAACTTAGAGGATCACAACATCTAAATGAATAACATGTGAGAAAATTTTATGACAAATTTTCTTAACCCTAGACATCCGTCAATATTTAGCTCACATTTAATAATAATGTTTGCATCCACCAACAAATAACATAGGTTTTAAAACCAAGTATTCATTCATTGATATGTGTTTCATTGCATTCTCTATTTTGTGAGAAAGAGGTACCTGTCCCATCTGAAGGAGATACTTTTTTTTATGTATGCACTGACTCTAACAATAGATGATGCAAAATGTTCATTTTGAGAACTATGATTTCAATTTGGGCCATTTCAAATATCTATTAGGGTTAGGATTTAAAGAATAGAAGCGGTGTTAGATGAATCTTGTTCGAGTCATAAACTAGGCTTGAAGGAGTAAATGTACTTGATGAAGAGGAATTACGAGAAATCATAATAAGAAAAGTCGGTGTGAAGGTGTTTTCTTTTGACATATTCCACCGTTCGTAGTTACTAGTAGTTTTTAGCGTACGCACCATCGTTTCTGGTCTTAATATAAACTAAAATTCTTAAGTAAGTTAGATTTTAAACCCATATCCTTATTAAGTTTATATATATACGTGAACAATTGACATCATTAATCTACCACGGATTATTTACGTTGTATGTTAAGAACGATATATAATGAGACAATTTGTATGGGACACTCTCCATCTATTTAATCAATCTTGTGCACATTGCGAGCTTTTCACATTAAACTTTAGTAGTTGTATGGGAAACATCACTTCCATAAATGTTAATAGTTTCATGGGGAACGTTACATCTATTAAACATGTCTCTCAAGAATCATGAACGTTCCATGTTGCACATCAATAGTTTCATGGGAAACAATGATTCCATAAATAACATAAAAATATCATTATTAGTTACTGAGTGTGATATCCTAAAATCTCATTAAGTAGTGACCTTTGAGAGGTCATGCCCACAACGCGTTTAGATGGTTGTTTTCCACTTTAATATATCACTAGAATGACCAACTTCCTGATTCTTCTCAAAAGCTTCATTATATTATCTATAAAGCTTTTGTGGGAATGGGAAGGGTTTCATACGAAATGAATCCAAATGGTTTATTGTTGTGGAAAAACTCCATTGTTTACATCATGGATTTCCTTGAACTCGGGTAGAAGGTTTTTATAAAAGTCTTAATTTCAAGGTATGTAACTAATATCCTTGTATAAAGTGAAATGTAGTGGGCTTATAAGTTTGTTGTATTGTTACAAGATAAGAGGAAATATTATAAGTATTTCAAATGGATTGTTTGAGGAACTAATTCCAAAGACATGCTACTTAAATACACAACGATATGAAGTATACATAATTAGAACACAAGAAAACACAATTCGAGTTGAAGAACAAAATAAACGATAATCTAGAGATTGAGGATCAAATGTTGGAACTAAGGGAACTTAAAGAAATGCAATTATGGTTGATAAAGCATAAAGAAAACATTAGCTTGAAGTATGAAAAATAGAGTATACTAATGTTATATTACTTAAGGTTGGTGTAACATTAACGTTAGTTGTTATCATAATTCTTTGATGCAATATTTGTTTTGTTTGTGAAAATGATTCTTATGGTTTTACCATAAGATGATTATTTAAAACTTTATAATCTTCATTGTAACACCCAAATTTTTAAGCACAAATTTACACCCAAATTCTTTTCCTTTATATAAAATATTATACAACAAAGGTTTCATACATATTAAACATTAAGTTTCAACTTCAGTAAGTATACAAAAGATAGCCCAATGATCATATTGGGTTGTTACAAATATTAAACTATATATTTTATATACATAAAAGTGACTTCTACCACTTTCACGCCTCCAAAAGACTTTGATTATAAACACTTTTAGTTCCTATAAAACACATTAATAGCATCTATAATAAGCTATATGCTTAGCGAACAAAACCATTTTTCATAAACTTGAAACATAACTATCAAAATCATTTCATAATAAAAATATAAATTTTCACATTTCTTAAGTGCTACTTACATCTTTCAACAATAGTATTATCATCACCAAGATTAATACTATTATCATTTTCTAATATTATTATCATTTTCATTGGTATTATCGTCACAAAGACTACCAATTCAATTCATTCTCACTTTGTGGTATTTCGATTACCAAGACTACCACAACAACAATTTCATATCCGGGATATTACAATTGCTAAGACTATCCCAATTTCCATCCATTATAACTTCAACATTCCATCACCAAGATTTGCTAATTCAACCTTTCATCACAACATACATAATAGTATGTACATAACAACACAATATGTTAAATACATAAATTCAAGTTTGTAAGTAAAGCAACTTTTACTCACCTTATCACCTGTTTTTTTATTGCTTGATATCCCAACACCCAAATCTTTATCCTCAACTTTAACTCTTGGGGCTGTTACAAGAATCAAATCATTCATACACTCTTATGTCATTTATATATATACCACTCTCATTCATACCAAGTGGTTCAATTCAATTCAAAATATATATTTCATAATTCCAACACACAAATTTACATTAATTCTAACAATTGATTGTTATCAAACTCTAATTCATTAACTACATGCTTAATATATTCAATTCATCATTTTTCACCATCCAGTTTATAGCAATCAACTTTTAATTCATGAATTTGAACATAATAATCATGCAATAACACTCTTTGTATACTCATTCTTACTTTAATCAACATCATACATCTAAACCCTAACTATTCACAATTAGGGTTCATAGGGAAAAATCCCTAATTCATAGATTAAGTTATGTTAATCCCTTCACACACATATAATTAAAGTAGATACACCCTTAGTGATCTCTTTAGACTTTAATTTCACACATTTCACAACTAATTGGATTAGGGTTCTTACCCCTAATCAGATTTCATATAATTTTAGGAGGATTTCAAGAGATTGAGCCCCTTACATTTAATCTACACACAAACTTGAAGCTTGGTTGTTAATCCCTTCGATCATTCATCAAGATTTGACACTATAGTTAAAAAATCGCCCAAATACTGCTAAGCATCGTCCATGCACTGTTGTGGTGTGATTTAAGCTTAAAGGATGAGTTTTTGTCTTTTATTTTCTTTATGATACATACGACACGTCGTGGTGGTATCATGAGCACGTCGTGGTGACAGGAGAAGTCTTTCGTCATGTTTTAAGGTTATCGCGATTCCATCCGTCACAAAATATTTCCGTCACTAAAATCTTTAACAACCTACTTTCACCACATTGTGGTATATTCTACCACGACTAGTCCTGGCAATCGTGTCGTGTTCGGGTTGGTGTGTTGCGGGTTGGCGGGTCAAAATATGCCAACCCAAACACGACCCATTTAAATATACAATTCACGGGTTGGCGGATTTAGAACATAAACCCATATATGACCCACCAACCCATTTATTTATACGGGTTTATAGGTTGGCGGGTTCGTGGGTTAGATTTGGGTTCGTGGATCCTAATTTTAGACATTTAAGTCTTAAACATCCAAATGAAAATTAAAAACATTCATAGAAACATGTTACAAACTTAGCCTTATAGGTCACGACTTATGACCTTAAACCATCCACCACGAGTCAAAATGTCAAAACAGTCAAATGGTCTATGAATCAATGATATATATTATATAATACTTATTAAATATTAATACTTGATACATAAATACATTTAAAAATAAAATAATTTTTTTATTAAGAATATAAACAGGTTGGCGGGTCAACCCGTTTATTTTTTGAGAAACCCATATATGACCCGTTTAATAAATGGGTTGGCGGGTTGGCAGGTTAGCGGGTTGAAAAACTCAACCCAAACCCATTTATTTCGTGTCGTGTCGCGTGTCGTGTCAAGAATTGTCAGCCTTAGCCACGACGTGGTTCTTTCCAAAGTACACTGCCCTCGTTTTTACGTCAATTAAATCATCGCTTCCTACGTTGTTGCACCACCTCCACCACGTCGCGATTTCAGAACACCACGTCGTCGTTTCTGAGACTTCAGAATATGTTTTTTTATTTCTATTTTACCCCTCTATACCCTTTTAGTCATACATATTGATCCTTTCTCCTCCTGCTTAACTTTTATATCATCATCTTTAAACATAAAAACATAATTTATACTTTCAAAAAATAATAATAATAATAATAACTTACAAATCATATTAAATGACCACAATATCATTCTTAACAATCATGTTCTTGATAGCACATTATACTTCATAATTATCCCACATATACATAGACACTTATATACACTACTCATAACTTATTTATTTAAACTAGGACATTACATTCATTAATAATAATAACAAACAATCGATAAAATATTTATAGTACATTATATTGATTACATTACAATTGTTACTTCAAAAATCCAACAAACCAAACACAATATGTTATAAAAAAACATAGCCTAACTAGAGATGGTATCATACTTACTAGAGAACAAATTGTCACATATTAAATACCGAAAACATAAAAAAAAATTCTACACATGTTTCTGTAATTGTTCACTTGGTTGTGTATTAAGAGACAAATGTTTGCTCTTTAAAGATCATATGCACCACATGTGAGCCTTTAATACATGCTAATCAACATAAAAAAATACATGTAAATTAATTATCATAAGTTGATTGTTTGCCTTCTCACAAAACAAAACAGATTTATAACGAGTTAATCATTTGATTGGTTGTCCTCTTTACAACTACATTAAACAATACAAAACAAGTGAGACCAAATGGATTTTGGTCTAGCGATATCAGAAGTTTACTAATATGCACTCATCAAACAAATGTTGACATTCAAGTCTCGTTGTGGACGAAATGTGCAGATTTAGGAGTAGAAATAATCTATAATTGATTCAACAAAACAAGTGAGCTAGGTTATATTGATTCAACAAAACAATATAAAACTGAAGACCATTTATCAACTTACGCAGATATAGTCTATAATATATGCAATATCATCATCTTCATCCGCATTGTCTCTATTGTCTTCATAAAAAACATCATTTATAAACATAATGATTATGATGTTGTCTGATAGTAGTTTTTTTCTCTGTCATCCGGTCGTTTTATATATACTACATAATATGAATACCATGAACCATTAGTATGAATACCATGAACCATTAACGATAACTTTTGTGAGCCTTGTATGTAACCTATTAGACATGAAACTAGTTGTGTAAAGATTAATTTTCGAATGGTTACCTAAAAATATGATCCAACCTTTGCGAATAACTCTTGTATATGTATATAAAAAAAAGCAATAAAAAATAGTTATTTTATCTATCATAAATTCCCTTTATTAATTTACATTCTAAGATCTTTTTATAACCAATCAAACAATTTTTTCTCAAAAGAAAGGATTGAATTCCATTTCTTTAGCTCTTGAGATTCTAATTCGTGTAGATTCCTCATTCTATATCTTTGGTAAGCGGTTCAACATCAGAAAAATTAGGAACATCAAAATCCCAGGTCAGCCTGCTCAAAGATAACGCAGTCGATCAAACAAGACAACCAGGCGATCATATAATTATTATTCTATTAATCAGTACAGCTCCCCATACCATGTTCTGTTTATCAAACCACTGAAGACGATTTCACCTCTTCTCTGCGCTCTCCTAACACCAAACCAAAAGGCAAACGCAACTTCATGTTTCCTTGATCCTGAATTCCACCTTTTATTTAAAGATTAGCAGTTCAATCACACCTCGAATCGAATCTATCGTGCCTACCCTTGTTTCAAGACAGATTCTGATTCATCATAATCGACTCTAGTTCATTCTGTTTGATGCTTGATTTAGCAGCCCAGAACTAGGGTTTAGAGTCAATGAAGGCCATGGAGACTTTACAGGATCTGATCGAAGAAGCAAAGCTTCGTACTGTGTGGTGGGCTCTTTGTATCTTCGCTGTCTCTTACTTCTTAGCACGTAAGTTCTCTGCTTTCTGATGGGTTGGGTGTATGTATATTGATTTAATCGTTGTTTGCATATTCTTTATGGGTTTTTGTTGTATTCTTACAGACACAAGTAAATCAATGTGGACGAATGTTCCTATAGCAATACTCATGGTATCAGGTTCACGAATTTTGTTAAACGAAGTTGAATTCCGTTGGAAGACCAGAAAAAACCGGCCACTAACATACTTATCGCACTTAGAAAAGAAGCAATTATCTGTGAATGATTCACGGCTTTCCACCTTGCCTCCCCCGCCTAAGTGGAAGAGGAAAGTCGATTCTCCAATGGTGGAGGCTGCCATGGAGGATTTCATTAACAAGCTTTTGCAAGATTTTGTTGTTGATCTATGGTATTCAGATATTACACAAGACAAGGAAGCACCTGAACTTATTCGGGCAATTATTATGGATGTTCTTGCAGAAATATCTGCAAGAGTCAAGAACACAAATCTTGTTGACTTGTTAACAAGGTGGGTATGTCTATAGAATATATGTATATGTTTATACTGGTTATCAGCAACTGATTATCTGATTCTGATTATGTCTGTTTGTTTTAGGGATGTGGTTGATCTAGTTGGGGTCCACCTAGAGCTTTTTAGAAAAAACCAAGCTGCAATTGGAGTAGAGGTTATGGTAACATTGTCTTCAGAAGAAAGAGATGAAAGGTTGAAACATCATCTCATGGCATCTAAAGAGCTTCATCCTGCTCTATTATCTCCCGAGAGTGAGTACAAGGTGTGAGTGGAGTGTTTTGATGTAAAATAATTTCTATGATCATTAACATTTAAGTCTCCTTTTGTTGCAAAGAACAAAACATGTTGTACTGTGTTTCGTGTGCATTGAATGAATGAGACAAAAAGCAACTTTTCACCAAGTTTGTGGGACAAAAAGTAAATTTTCACCTTTTTGGATAATTTTGTCTCATTCAGTGATAAGTCCCACAGTCCAATGCACGCCAAACACAGTACAATCTGTTCTGTCATGTCATGCTGACAGTATCTGATGCTTCTTAATTTTTTGTAGTTTTTGAAACGGATTATGGGGGCTGTCTTAGCTGTAGTGTTAAAACCACGGGAAGCTCAATCCCCTTTAGTTCGATGCATTTGTAGAGAGCTTTTAACATGTTTGGTTATGGAACCTGTAATGAGATTTGCAAGCCCTGGATACATCAATGAGTTGTTGGAGCTTATTTTCTTGACCTCCACTAACAATGGAGGTGAAGATCAATCACCAAATGTTAAAGATCATAAACAAGATCAATCCACAAGCACAAAAAGTTCTGATCTTTCTAATAGTCAAAAGAATGACATGACAATATCTAAACATGATGCAAATATAGAACATCCCTTAGATGCATCTTGCAAAATCGTTACCGATTTAAATCAAGAAAAAACAAAGAGTTTACCTGCTGCTGATTGGGCTCGGGTTCTTGAGGCTGCAACCCAAAGAAGGACAGAGGTTCTTCAGCCTGAGAATCTTGAAAATATGTGGACAAAAGGAAGAAACTACAAGAAGAAAGCTCAGAAGCATGCTACTCGAGGGCAAAATAGTAATATCAAGAAAGATAAGCTTGAGAATTCGAGTTCTGAAAAGTTTCCACCAAGGCCTCATGATGTTGATCAGAGGAATACTTTGAGTCTTGATGGGGGAGCTGAAGAGAGTTCTAGTGTGATTAAGTTTAGGAAATCTAACAGCACATCTGATTTGATAAAGGACACCCAGATTGAAACCGGGTATCCGGATCAAGTCAGTGGGTCAATTATCTCAGAGTTTTATACTGCAAATGTTGGCAAAAAAGATGTACATAATAATGTTAATGCTGCTTCTGATAAAGTATTACGCATTGAAGGATGTGTCCCAAAGCTTAAGTGCAGGGTAAGAGTAAGACCATTCTCTTTTGCTGATTGACTTTGACTTTGACTTTGACTGTGTATATAATATGCTACAGGTTCTAGGAGCTTATTTTGAGAAACTCGGGTCAAAATCTTTTGCTGTTTATTCAATTGCAGTGACGGATGCTGAAAACAACACTTGGTTTGTTAAAAGAAGGTATTGTTCTTGAATTTTTAACAACTACACAATCTTTTATGGTTTCTGGAGATAAATGATTTGTATTTTTTTGTGAACAGATACAGGAATTTTGAGAGATTACATCGCCAGCTAAAGGACATTCCAAACTATACTTTACATTTGCCTCCTAAAAGGATATTTTCATCAAGCACAGAAGATGCATTTGTTCATCAACGTTGCATTCATCTTGACAAATATTTACAAGTATGTCTCTTACTTCTTTATACTATGTTTATCATGCATAAAGATATTGAATGGATTTTGTTATGTATAGGAACTTTTATCAATAGCTAATGTTGCAGAGCAACATGAAGTGTGGGACTTTTTGAGTATCTCATCAAGGGTATTTATCTATCTATCTATCTCTCTTTCTCTCTACATTTTCTACAATTTAACTTATAAACTTGTTATTTTATTTTTATGTCATCACTCATCACTGCAGAATTACTCTTTTGGAAAGTCTTCTTCAGTAATGAGAACCTTAGCAGGTGTGTCCTTTTGTTTTCACATGTTATAATACCATAGTGTTTTGACAGATTTGCCCTTATTTATTTATATATTTTTTTGCAGTGAATGTGGATGATGCTGTGGATGATATTGTGCGTCAGTTTAAAGGTGTTTCAGATGGTTTGATTCGGAAAGTTGTGGGCCCATCTTTCACTGTTGATCCCATGAGCAAAAGCTTAACATGGAAAGCAGATGAACTTAGCAATTCCTACTCCTACACAAGGCAAGGTACATCGGAATCAGCAAATAGTCTTTCCGATAACGAGGAGAATGGAGTCGTTGATTCCATTCCCACTGCACAACCTAACGGGTGGCATTCAGACAACGAGTTAAACTCAAAAGGATTCCCACCAAGAGTTGTCAAACATGATGATCTTTTAAGAAGCTTAGATCATGAGAAAAGAGCTGAAATACTCAATCTTGCTGCAAATTTTCCTTCAACTTCTGATTCCATGGAAGATCCACTCGGTGTTCCAGCAGAGGTTCTTTTTCTTTTTCTTTTTTTATTTATATTATAATCTTTTTTAATTTATATCCCTTGACATTTTTATTTGTGTAAATGTTTTATTGCAGTGGACACCACCTAATGTGAGTGTTCCTTTGCTTAATCTGGTGGACAATATATTTCAACTTAACCGAAGAGGGTGGTTAAGGTTAGTTAACCATGGTAACATAATACATCACACATGAATCCTCTTTAAATGTTAAATTTAAGGGTTTGTTTTGTTGCAGACGACAGGTGTTTTGGATATCAAAGCAAATTTTACAGTTGATGATGGAAGATGCTATTGATGATTGGCTTTTAAGGCAAATACATTGGCTTAGAAGAGACGACATTGTTGCTCATGGGATACGTTGGATACAAGATGTAATTACTTTGCTAATTAGTTAATCTTTTTTTTCAACAAAATAATTATTTAATTATAATAACGATAATTGTTTTTTTTTTTTTGTAGGTTTTATGGCCTGAAGGCATATTTTTTACAAGATTAACTGCCCAAAGTCAAACAGGTTCTTATCATTCTGATCAAGATACTCCAAAAACAGCAACTCATTCATCGGGCAGTAAAGTCTATAAACAAGGGTCGTTTGAGGAGCAACTTGAGGCTGCCCGAAGGGCTAGTGATGTCAAAAAGATGATTTTTAGTAAGAAAAAAATCATCCTTTTTTTTTTTTTTTTTCTCTTTATAAAAACGTGTGTTTGTCAAATGTCTAAAATACCCTTTTCTTCTTTTTTAGACGGAGCGCCTTCCACATTGGTGAGCTTGATCGGTCATAACCAATACAAGCGTTGTGCAAAAGACATCTATTATTTTCTCCAGGTAAAATAAATACCTTTCGAGCGTGTTTTGATTGTTGAATGTGAAATGTCTAAAATACCCTTTGGTGCAGTCGGCTGTCTGTTTGAAGCAACTTGCGTACGGATTACTCGAACTTGTGGTCATAACGGTTTTTCCCGAGCTGCATGATATTGTAACTGATGTTCATAAGAAGGAAGCAACATGAGTGTAGATTATTCCAAGATTCCACTCAAGTTTTCAGGGTTTTTGCCTTTTAAGTTTTGGATATGTCGGCTGATGTTTATTTTTCTGTGATTTGGCTATAACTGTACAAAAAGGTGTTAGTTAGTAGTGTGTGCATAGTCTTTGAAGAGTAGATGGTGTTGTACAACCTATCTTATTATGGTTTGAAAGAACCTTTTTGAGCTCAGTTTTGTAATTATGTCTGTTGCTTGACTAGCTTTTGGAGTCGTTTTGAAATTGAATATTCTTCCATTGATGTCTCTAAAATCTTTTGTACCATTTAAAATGCAATGTTGACTTTAAATATTATAGAACTCTCTATATGTCCTAAACTTCTTTTGTTTATTTAAAAGCGAGAACTTTATACTTCATAAAAGTCTCAAGAATATCTTCTTCATAAAGGGTTAAAGATGATAGAATATCTACAAGTTATCTTATATGTTTCACGTAAAGTCATTATTTTATTTGTTAAAGCACCAAGTCATTGTAGTTACAAAAGTATATAGGGTCCCGGGTTATCGGCTAGACATATTAAAATGTGTTGGCATGGTATCTGTGTGGCGAAGGCATGTCGATATTATAGTTATCTGTATTTTTTTAATTTCCAAATATAATTTATGACATCTCTTCTACTTGTCTTTTGTGATTTATTTCATGATCATATTCACACTCTTCATTTCGATTTTAATATGATATTAGGAAACCTCAAAAACTTAAGTTTGAAGGTTTGTTGTGATAGACTTGCTGTCTCTTTGACCAATTTGTATAAAGTTGGAAAATTTATATCTACCACAATTTTAACACCAAAGTTTCTAACAAATGGTTTAATGTATATCAATTCCTCCTTTTATGATTGTCATGAACCACCAACACAAATAACAATAAAATACTCATCTGATTGGTTTTAACTCATGTTATCTTAACATTAACAAAAAAGTATGTTGATAGGGAAATCAAAAAAAAAAAAGCAGTGAAAATTTTGCCCCACCAATCAAACAATTGGTTTGATAATATTTTTTTTTTTACAAAATAATCTCTTATAGGATAACATCCTCAAAAATGTAAGTATTTTCGCAGTCAAATTGACAAGCAAATATATGATTTTTCAAAGAAAAACATCACATATGACGTCATTTTTCATAGTCAACGGGGACATTTTCATAGTCACCATGTTCAAAACATCATTTTGGCAAAAAAAGAAAAAAAAAATTAAGACCAACATTTTCGTAGATGGTTATCTGCGAAAAGTAAGGTTATTTGGGTCATTTTTCATTTTTTGTGGGTGATTAATGGTAAAAGGTTTTACAAAATGTCTATCATAGTCACGTTCTCTATATTTTAACTAGTTATATGTAACGCCCCCTTTCTATTTTCTATTTAAAATGATAATAATATTGGTAGTAAATAATAAAGGGCAATCATAGGTTTTAATCACCATATAATGGTTAAATAAGTAAAATAAATAAATAAATGGAGTTATGTAAAATATAAAAGAGATTTATATATGTTATTTAAAGTAATAAAATAAGTATATGCTAGATAAATACAAGTAAACGAGTGACCTTAAAAGAAACAAAATAGTCTTAGAGGGACTAAAGGGGGATTTTGAAAGTTTATAATGTGAAGATCTTGGTGATTGGGACCAAAAATGTCATTATGGAAAACTTGAGGGACCTAAACTGAAATTTTTGGAATTCTAGTGAATGTGACTGCTACTTACAGATCTTCGTCCCATATGTGAGTGTATGCCACACAAGGAAGAAACCGCAGAGGGGTGGGGAAGGGGGAGAAGAATGCAGGAATGCGAAGAAAAAGAGGAAGAAAGGATCAAGTATCAAAGGTATGTAATCACCCTTCTAATTCCTTGCATGAAAAAGAGAGGCAAGACGTAGGAAAAACTTGATTTTTGAGCTCAGAATCTGCATATCATAAAAATAGTGAAACAATAGACTTAGGGTTGTGATTTTCGAAATCTCCTTAACCCATTTATTACTTCATAAGTAGAAGTGCATTACTGTTCTCTTTACCAAATGACCTATCACACCTCATAATTATTGTTAAGTCCTTATTCTCCAGCTTTGAGGTCGTTTTACTAAGGACATAATGGGTTAAGATGCTAAATTAACCCAAATGCTAAGTTAAGATTTCATATGGAAAGTCATTATTTTGTCATGTTTTTGTAAAAATCATAACTAATTTTCGTTTGAACCTGAAATCGGTTACCAAAGTTTAGAATTTGAGTCTAAGCATGGAAACGGCTCTATTGAGGGTGAAAAGTGCAATTTTTAATGATTGGTCCAGTTTGAGCTGCTATGCCATGATGTCTTCAAAAATTCATAACAAATAGTAGAAAAATCATATGGACTTGCGTAAATAGTCCCTGGAAAGGTAAAAGTCTAAAGTTATGGATATGAAATACTATTGCACTATTGAGGGGTTTTAGAGGAGCTAAAATGGTCTTGAACAGAAGCGCCAAAGGAAGAGGTTGATAAACTGATACCAGGATCCTTACATGGAATCTCCCAATTTCACAATACACGAAACCAACCATATCAACAATCGAAATCAACTAATTCGAATTCAAGTAAAGTAGCATCAACTGAAGCAGCGAGGAGAGAATGCCGGACTCCTCCTTCACTCGATTGCTTCGCTCCAAATGCACGTTCCTCGCCTGGTATTCCTCTGTTCCTGATCACGAAACCGATTAATTTCTGCAAATTCGATATACTTCGTTTCTTATGATTTTGCTTTTGAATTTACATATGTTTTGATTAAATATTTAGCGTTGTCCATCCAATTTGGGAAAAATACTCTTAGATTTTATTACATTAAATGAACGAGAGATTGTAGCGATTTCCCTTTAGATCTGTGGTGTGGAGAGATAAATGGTGGTAAAGATAGATTCACCATTCGCCATTCAACAACAACATCCAACGCCATCCTCCCAATTCACAGCCTCGTATACCACCCTTCTTATGGAAGCTCCTAATCCTATACACAACTCTCCTAAACCCTTTCAAAATGCAAACCTTCTTCTTCATCGGTGGCCTGCTTTTCATCTTCTACGTATCTTCATCCTCCCTTGCATCAACCGGTCCACACCTCACAACTTTAAAACAACCCTTCCTTGCATCAACCAGTCAACAACTCACAGCTTTAAAACAAAACGACCTTCAACCAGAAGATTTCAAATTAAAGGTCGATCCCAGTTTACATTTTGAAAACCCTAGGCTTATGAAAGCTTATTGCGCCTTACAAGAATGGAAGAAAGCAATCTACTCAGATCCACAAAACCTCACAGGAAACTGGGTAGGCCCAAATGTGTGTTCATACGAAGGGGTGTTTTGCGCTCATGCTTTAGATGATCCAAACATTCTAACAGTTGCTCTCATTGATCTCAACTATGGAGATATTGCTGGACAGCTTGTTCCTCATATTGCATTATTAAGCGACCTCGGTGTATTCCATATCAATTCTAACAGATTCTGTGGGATTATCCCTGAAACCTTCTCAAGACTCAACCTCCTGTTTGAATTCGATGTCAGTAACAATCGCTTCGTGGGCCCTTTCCCTAAAGTTGTATTGGACATGCCTCACTTGAGGTTTCTTGACATAAGATACAACGAATTTGAAGGAAAACTACCTCCTGAATTATTTGACAAACGCCTCGATGCCATTGTTATCAACAACAACCGATTCCATTCCACCATTCCAGAAAACATCGGGAATTCACGCGTTTCCATGCTTGTTCTTGCAAACAACAAGTTCACAGGTTGCATACCTAAAAGCTTTGGAAACATGCCACGTTTAGAACAAGTTTCTTTCTCCAATAACCTTCTAACTGGTTGTATACCCGAAGAGATTGTGAATCTTCAGGGGTTGATATTGTTTGATGTGAGTAACAACAAATTCATCGGGAAACTTCCAAAAAATCTATACACGTTGAAAAGAGTCGAGAGGTTTGACTTTTCAAACAACCATTTGACCGGAACGATTCCTAAAAGCATTTGCAGTATGCCTGCACTTTTGGATTTTAGAATCTATAGGAACTACTTTCATGAGATTAGTGGAGAATGTGATAAGCTTGTGGATGAAAAACTGCTTTCTATGAAGGAGAAAGACAATTGCTTCCCTAAAAGACCCCATCAAAGATCCGATAAAATTTGTTCTCAAATGATAAACACTCAAGTTGATTGCAAAAATGTAGGCTGTAGTACACCACAAAACAACGTTGTTGAACAAGGAAACCGGAAAATAACACCACATAAACTGAAACCATCACCACAAAAAGTTCATCCGCCACCAACACCTGTCCCACAACCACCAAAACCAACCACCAAGCCACCACCAGTGGTCCGAGGACTCTAGATGTTATTAGAACACTTATTTTTTTGGTAGAAAACAACTCTTTGTAGACTAACTTGTATTAAACAACTAATGAGAAAAGTTTCACATTTCACATTTCACATTTCACATTTTTTCTGGTTATTATACATATAATAATAATATTAGTGAATAGCTGCTTGAATCATCTCCACTACAGTTCCCATGGAAGGGCGTTTTTTGGGGTCAGACAAAAGGCACACCTCCGCGATCCTAATCATGCCGGAGGCGGAAACATTTTCTTCAACACCAGACATTCGTCTATCGGGAACACCTTTCAATCCTTCTCTCTTTTTTTTCTCCATTACATATTGCCCTAAATTAGTCACCGAAGGTTTCTTTCCTGTAATTATCTCCAACATCAAAATCCCAAAACTGTAAACATCGGATGCTTGACTAAATGACTTTGAAATACTTCGTGTTCGTGTTAATTCAGGCGCCATTCGTCCACAGTTCCTTCTGATAATCGTGGAAGCAGAGATAAGATACGGCGTTTCATAGCTAGAAAGACGAGGTGAGAAGTCGCTTTGTATTAGAAAGTTAGATGATTTTATCACCCCGCAGAGAAGACCTCGACTGTGAATCGACGCTACTGCTTTCGCTGCTCCGAGCGCTATCTGCTGTCTGATTTCCCAATTTAACGGCGTAAACTGAACGCCTTCGCTTCCTGCGAAATTGAAATCGATTAAAGGTAAAAATTAGAAACCCTAGTTTTTGGTTATGGGATTTTACTTACCATGTAGGAGCTCCTCCAAGCTGCCTAAACATAAGTAGTCATGAATAATGAAAGCTTCCCCGCCGTACCAAAAACCAAATCGGAGCGGCAACAACCACCGGTTGCCTCTAAGGCCGCCGAAAAACTTAACCCAGTGCTCGAAATTCCCGCCATGGGTGACGTTTTTACAGATCTTTCTTATTGTGATAATGGAGCCGGAGTCGAGGACGACTTTGTAAAGCGTGCCTAAGGAGCCCTCGCCGAGTCTGTTCTTGGGGAGTTGAATGAGATCGGAGGGGTTGAATGCTGTGATGGTTTCATGGTCTCCGAAGATGATTTTGGTGGGAAGTGTGATTTTGACTTGTAAGGAGATTGGTGTTTGGTTTGTGATTTGGGTGGTGGTGGGTTTGGTGAGTTTGGTGGAGATGAAGGTTATGGCTCTGTGGAGAGTACAGATGAGGAACATGATGAGGAGTAAGAAGAACTGCCATGCGTGATCGATGTTCTTCATTGTTTGTGAGTGAGAGGTTTGGAGATTCGAGAGCAGCCATTGGTTGATGATGAATTTGAGTGATGTTCATAGATGTTTTCACCTGAATCTTTGAAATCATCCTATAGACAGCTAATTTTATGTTTGTATTCTTGGAATCGGAGTATATAGATTGCGTCATCTGTGTTTAATTTTAATTGTAATTACTCAACATAGAAGTAGTACCCAAGTTATTCCTTTTCTTTTGTCGCAGATTCAGAACATGATTTTACAGATATCCCCTCTTAATAAAAAAGTTTTTTTTTTTCGCCTAAGTGGCAGCTTCTCCAGCTACAAAATTTCTAAGACTCTAAACTATCTAATATACCATTCACCTTTTAAAACTCTAAACTCTATCTACTCATCTGTTAATTCCCCAATATCACGCCTCCATTTGCTTCGATTTCAATATATAAACTCCAAGATTCAATGTGCCAATAATTGAGTAATCTGATCATATGTTCATCAATGTAACTAAAATCAAATGATTTATAAGTTGAGGTATCGCATTGTTAATATAAATAGATAAATCGAATCAAACTCTATTGTATTTTGGTATCAATCACTTTAACTTCTTAATTCATGTTCGTGTATGTACCAAACATCTTATTTTAATTTTGTTTCCGCATTTGTTTGCTTTTAGTTCCAAGATCTACAAGGAGATGACGAATAGTGGCATATGTTGCGGTGGAATTGAAAAATATATATATATATATCCGATTTGCAATTGAAGGGCAACTGTTTGTTAATATGTCTCTATGATAATTGATAATCAAAGAAGTAGAATGGATTGTATAAGTATCCTTCTTCTTCCAATAAAGAAGATCCATCACTGCATTCTCGATTTAATATACAAGTCTATGAAAACTATTTCGTTTTTGCCAATCATTCTTCATATCTATTTAATTTAGGTTCGTATAATTCTTCTTCCAGCTTTATTTCTAATTACATACTTCATCAAAATTACTATGACTTAATGTTGGTTGATGAAATTTGTACTTCTTCCAGCTTGTTTTGCTAATTCATGTGACACAAGTGTGTGTTTATTATGTTATAGTTTGAAAAGAAAACTTATGGTTATTTACCCATGTAAATATCCAATTATTTAGAAATCCATGTAAAATTTTCATTGCTCATATAATTGTAATATGAGTCATTTATCATATAAATCAAATTTTATTGTTTTTTAATAGTTTAAGTCTTTTATAAATATTTTACTCGTGGTTCTCACGGGTTGTAACCTAGGTATTTAGTAAAGTTTATTTGATATAGTTTATTGATATACCGATAAACTTGGATATTGGGTTTACGTATCAGATTATTTAATAATATTATACATAGTTGATTATACTGTTTACCTATGATGCTACCAAAATTCTCGGAATAACACCATGGTATGGTTTAATATCAACATGACATACTTCGTGATGACAAACATATTAAATTTGGCGCATCATCAAGGATTTCGGGTCCTAAGAAGTTGTGTTTCTAATATGGCAATACAATTGTTGGGTTATCTCAAATACCTAACTTAGGACGTGTTTGGCACGGAACGTTTGGGAACGTTTGAGAGCTTTTAGCTTTTAACATTTGACAAAACACTATGTTTTAAACAGAAAGCCATGTTCGGCACTACAAGTTTCTCGTGTTTAGTTTAAACAAAATGTTTCAAATCAAATGCTTCTTTATGTAGCGCGTTTAACAAAACGCTACAAATTATCTACTACTTGCTACAAGCTACACCGAACACGCTCTTAATAAAGGACGCATGTCAAGTGCATCTTTCTACACCTATATTTCATCCAATGTTAAAAATCAATTTCGTTTTTCATATCTTCTACTTTTAACGTATGGGTTCTTCTGCGTCATACAAAAGAAGATATTATATATAAATATGGTTAATTGAATTTACTGAAAAAAAAATTACTTTCCTTAATACAAAAATTATATTTTATCAATTTAATAAGTTTTATAAATATTAGATGTTTCATAACTATTCTTAATTATCAATTTTATTTTGCTTTTTTACCTGTGGTTTCAACGGGTATTAACCTATTATTTTAATAAACTAAACCTAAAAATGTCACATTTTCATTCTAGCATGCTTCTTTGAAACGTGTTATTTTTTTTATAATTATACAATTTTCCCCCTTTTTTTTAATAACAAAATTTTCGAAATATATGATAAAGTATTATGATTATTTTACTTAACAGAATAATTCAAAATTACTACAATCAACCATTTTTTTTAAAACAATTATTATTTTTATCTAATATAATAATTTTAAACATACATACCAATGATGGTTTTCACGGGTTATAACATAGTAAGTCATAAAGAAAAACAAAATTACATAAATGGTCCCCATGGTTTCTCAAATTTTCATGGCATCTCTAGTGTTGGTATTTACAAGTTTTTGTGTTTAGGCTGCAAATGTAAGTTATTTGCTTGTGTAAATTCTTTGCCTTGATTTTTTATTATTACAAATAGAACCAATGAAATTATGAGAAACTCAAAGTTTTTAGTTTTTTCCAAATAGATGACTCTAGATTCCTCTATGACTCTCAGTGGGAAAATGAAACTTTGAGAAATACAAAGTTTTAGTTTTATGGTTCTTCAGTAGAATTGTATAAATTCTTTACCTTGATTTTTCATTGTTACAAATAGAACCAATAAAATTATGAGAAACTCGAAATTTTTAGTTTTTTTTTTCATGTATATTGCTTTGACTGTAAACTCTTTGCAATATGTTTATGACTCTAGACTCCTCTATGACGGTTACTGGGAAAATGGTGTTGGATTAGTGTCTAAGTCCATAACTATTTTGGTATGTACTTGATCCGATGGTGTATGGTCCTTTTGGGTTGCCTTCACCAAAGCAACTTGATAGGATGAATTATGGAGAGAGAGGATTAATTATGATTTATTAATATATTATAAGAATAATATATTAAAAGAGAAATCATATTGTTTAATTAATATTAGTCAAGAATTAATTGATAATTAATTTTGTGGCTAAAAGAGATAAATTAAACTTAAGGGACTGAAACTGTAATTATAAGATAATTGCATTTGGGCTATGGATTACTTAATAATATATAAGTTGGACTAATTCTATGGGGAATCCCATTAGAAATCATCCAAGAGATATACCAAAGGAATCCATGGGCTACTTAGGGCTTAAGCAGTCAGATTAGGGTTTCCTAGTTTAAAACCCTAATAGCCTACATATATAAATAGCACCCTTAAGCCCCAAAAACGAGATGATGAGATCCTCTAAGGTTTTGGACGATTTTGGGCAGCCTCCACTCTCTTTGTTCTTCATCCTCTTGCTCTTGGTGTTTGTGAACCATTAGAGGAGTGACATTTGTGATTCTAAGCTTTCTAAAGTCATTACAAGGAGGAATTGTGATTGTTATTGCTACATAACAATCAAGGTAATATCTTAAACCTATTATTATGTTAATATCGATCATCATATGCTAGAATTAGGGTTTATAGTCTTGGATGAATTGCATGTACAATAGAGAAACCTAGATCCAAGCATTAGGGTTTGTATGAGCACATAGGATGTTCTTATGGCTAAAACCCATCAGTGGTATCAGAGCCTTGATTGGTTTCTATTGTACTGATGCCTAGTATATTTATTCTTGTTGCAAAAATCGATTTTTTGGCCCCCTAACTGATGAACTCGGTGAGTTCCAATGTGGACTCGGCGAGTAGCTCCAACTCGGCGAGTCCATAGAGGAACTCGGCGAGTTCGAGCGTCAGTTAGGCGGATTTTTACCTATTTTGACTTAGGATAATCGCCATAATTGCTTAAAATTAATAAAATACGAATTTTATTGATTCCTTGTGATTATCTTTGTCAAAATAAAAGATTTTGGTCATCTAATTAGATAATTGTTACCTTATTTGATAAATGTTAAATTATTTGAATTATTTGATCATTAGAACTAGATCTTATTAGATAACCACCAATTAATTGTTAATTGCCTTATTTGAATTATGTGATCTAGAATATTCTTGACAAAGTTTGGAAAAGTTTCAAATTAATCCCTTTAGGTTTTATAGTTTAAATTTGAATTTAAAAGTTTTGTTTTTGAAATTTAAATAGTTAAAACCCTAATGTTTTGAAATGTTTTAAAACTTGCCCTCAAGTTTTTGAATTTAAAAGTTGATTAAAAGTTTAATCTAGGAATGTTAAATTCTAAAACCCTAGTATTGTTTTGAAAAGTTCAAATCACACCCTTATGGTTTTATTAATTAATTAAGGTGTATAATTAAAAGAGGTTTAATAAATCCATAAAGTTTTGATTTACAATTTAAATTGAATTAAAAGTATAATTATTAAATTTGACCACCTAGTATTTTAAAAGTGTAAAATACACCCTATACTATATATAACATTAAAAGTCTAACATTATATATATGTATGAGTAAAACTCAGTCTTACCGTTAGTATGCCTCATTCACGAAGCTGGTCTATAAGGGGTGTTTAAGGAAATTGCCTATAAAATGGCGATTGAATGGGTATCCACTCTTACCCACCGCACTCTTGACTAGTGGAGGGTCGTTAGCCGAACGGGTAGGATAGGACAAAACGTTCCATTATAAGTATAATGAAGTACAAAAGTAACTAAATGTTTTACAAATTCCCAATCTTAGTTACTTTAGGCAAAACTGAATTGATGCAATTCCATGAAATTACACTTTGTGCCCTTGCGAAGACGTTAGTGGAGCGTGTGTGGTTTATCGGCACACTAAATGGTTCTAAGCAAAGGTAGCAAAGGGTGAGTCAATGTTTGTCATAGTTCGGTGGAGCGTGTGTGATTTACCGACACATCAAATAGGTGACCGTAACATGTGAGGGCACCATGTAAGTTTGCATGGTTATTCACACCCGCTTTGTGATCCTCGGCATCCCAGTCACAAACTAGAGGGGCATATCGAGATTTAAACATGTCATTGAAAAGTTCAATGAATCTCAAAGGGTCTAGTCTCAAAAATGCTCCCGCTTCTGAATCCTTGGGCGATTCTCCCCCACTTTGATTCAGCTAATGCCTTACATCACACAAAACTGGAAGAATTCCCAATTCTTCTCACCACCCATGACCAATCTGCTAGAAACCACGCTTATCATTGCTAGTGTTTTCAACACCAGCTAATCCTAAAAGATCACCCAACTTCTAAAGATATCCGAATAAATCTCCGGTAATAACCCGCTAAACCCAGGAAGCTCCGAATCTCAATTGGAGACCTCGGAATCTCCCACTGCATCACGGCCTTTATCTTGGCCGAATCGACTAGA